TTTATATTTCTAGTACATAACTAGACTACATGCATTATTGACATCAAAAAGTATGTTATTACTTATGCAGTCCAGTAACTTAGCCCACAACGTACCCAAATCTGCATTCTCCACCCATATCCCCACCTATTCTATTATTCGTGCAAGCTGCCAAGCTTGAGGCCAAGCTAGTTCTATAGTAGTCCCATTGTTTTAGTTCTACGTAGTCTCTAAGAGTACTAACTGTACTTTATATGCTGTACTATATCATATCTATGCGCGTATCTATGACTATATATATACATAGATATTATAGACTACGTAACCGGGATTGGAAACTGATGACGTCACGTGTACAGATTGTGTGATTATTAATGCATGAAATTGCATGAATTTGCATCAAAATGGTGAAAATCATGAAGAATTGTTATGTTTGATGAGCCGTATTAATAATATACTGTGATGTAGCTGGTTCTAAGTAGCTTAATCGCATAAAGAAAATACCAGAGATCACGATGGTACCTTTCTCTTCGTGTCTCTATGCTTAGTTCGCTCGGGAGAGGTACAACAGATCGGCCGCTTTTTGGCATTATTTTGGTGGATTTCTGCTCTCAGTAATATGGCAGGCAGAACTAACCAGTCTATTCTCATGTAGCATGGCCTTGTGCATAGTTTTAATCATAAAATGACACTGGGGTAGCTAAAGCTTGTTTGTAGGAGGGAGAATAAGACATTATATATCTCTTGTCACGGGGAGCGCACTTGCTTTAAACACCTGTTTTTACACAGCTAACACATTTTATTTTTATATCAAAGAAAATATAAACATGTGCGTATATTATAAGAGCCCAAGTACAGGTGAAATAGCTTGCGGGGGACTTCACTAGAGACCATTCTTTCCGGCCATGTCAGGCATTTTCGTCCGCCTCTCACTGTCACAGAGACTGTACCTGAATAGTTACATTGATTTGAATGGGATCACGTGATCTGTTTCCAATCCCGGTTACGTAGTCTATAATATCTATGATATATCTAACGCATGCGCACCAAAACAAACGTCTTAGTCCACTGTAGGATGTTAAGAAGTAGCTATAGAGCTAGATACCTTGTCATAAAACTGCCGGGTATTGTCTAGAAAGTCCCACAAAGTATTTTTAACAATCTCCATTCATCTCCATTGCGGAATTCAAATTTTACTATTAATAACCACAAATTAACCAGCTCTCGGCAAACTATACTAGGTTGGTTTCAATGTATAATGCGCTCACGTGATCCTTGTTTCCAATCGATCCTGTTCCGTGTATAATATCTATGGAAAAACCGAGCGAAAACTACCTGCACTCACGTGGTTAGTGGTTACTGGTTATTAAAACAATGGCGTCGAAGTTGTATCATACTGGCATCCGTTTTAGTGCTCACAATTCATTCAGGATGCAAGTAATACTCTTCAGAATCACACTGTTACCAACCATTAACTTCTAGACTATTCAATCACTCAATAGGAATCTGAGAAGTACTGCATCACGTGAGATTCCATTAGCATTTTAAAGCCGGCACTATTTTGTGTTACTATTTTTAGATGCATTCTTTGTCAGAAGGATCAAAACTAATAATATACCAGCATACCTTGATTACAAAGGTATTGGAACAAGAACGTTGACAATAGTTAGAAAAATTGATGGATACACAGAGGTATGTGCATTCTAATTACTGAGAATTTTGTTCACACCTTTATTACTATAAGAGGAAGGCTTGCATGCTCTCTAGAAGAAAATTTTAAACTTAAAGTTCAAAATTTGACCACAGAGCATGGGGCTATAGTACATGGTGTCAAGAGTAGATAATAATTAGAGGAGAGCTATATGGTCTGTTGCATCAAGGCCTAGAAATGAGTATTCATTCACTCTGTGCTAATTTGCCAAAAAGCAATAGAAACAAGGGCAAGTAGGATTAAAATCTAAAATGAAATTCTACTCTTGTGACGCAAATTCTATTGTACATTGCATTTTTAATACCATCATAAAAATTTAATTTTGATCAGAATCAATTTAAAATTTTGACACTGCTTAGAAGAAGCATGTATCATGTACAAATGTCGTTAAAATGTAAAATTTTTGCTTTCAATTTTTTGATGAAATTCGGCCAAAGATTGTGTACTATATAGCCTTTGGCCTGATTTTTAAGCAACTTTAAAAATTGAATATTGATTGGAATTAGCTCAAATTCTTAACGTAGCATAAGAACATGTATAATCAGAGAAAATGGATAATTAAATACCCTGTACTACAATGCTGGGTCTTTGGTTAAATTCGACTGGTCTACTACTCTTCACTACTTTTATCTCTGCTTACATTGTATGACTGATGAACATGTATTTCTGTAGGTATCCAATGGTGGTAGGAGGGTCCAGTTGTTTGATGCTGATGGAGAGCAGGACGATGAAGACTGTTGAACTATTTCTTATAAGTACTACATAGTGCTGCAATACTTATTTCTATTTCTCGTAGATTATCTTTGTTTTATAATTCTAGTTCTTGTACCATGTATATCTTATACCAAATTTTAGTTCTAGCTCTAAGTAAAAATAATTTTAGTAGCTGCATTTGCCCAATTACTTTTAGTTCCATTTTTAGTTCTAGTGTACCATGAGCCAAAAATTTATATTTCTACATTTTCTAGTACATAACTAGACTACATGCATTAATTATTGACATCAAAAAGTTATGCAATCCAGTAAGTCCACACCCAAATCTGCATTCTGCAATTCTCCACCCATATCCCAACCTATATTGGTGCAAGCTGCTAAAGCTCGAGGCCAAGCTAGTTCTGTAGTAGTCCCTCATTGTTTTAGTTCTCAGTACGTAGTCTCTAAAACCAAAAAACCGAGAGAAAACCTGTCTGCACTCACGTGGTTACTGGTTATTAAAACAATGGCGTCGAAGTTGTATCATACTGGCATCCGTTTTAGTGCTCACAATTCATTCAGGATGCAAGTAAAACTCTTCAGAATCACACTGTTACTTACCATTAACTTTTAGACTATTCTATCACTCAATAGGAATCTGAGAAGTACTGCATCACGTGAGACACCATTAGCATTTTTAAGCCGGCACTATTTTGTGTTACTATTTTTAGATGCATTCTTTGTCAGAAGGATCAAAACTAATAATATACCAGTGTACCTTGATTACAAAGGTAGTGGGACAAGAACGTTGACAATAGTTAGAAAAATTGATGGATACACAGAGGTATGTGGATTCTAATTACTGAGAATTGTGTTCACACCTTTATTACTATAAGGGGAAGGCTTGCATGCCCTCTAGAAGAAAATTTTAAACTTAAAGTTCAAAATTTGACCACAGAGCATGGGCTATAGCTATAGTACATGGTGTCAAGACTCTAGAGTAGATAATAATTAAAGTGATCTGTTGCATCAAGGTGTAGACTGAAAGTCACATAGGATTCATTCACTCTGCTAATTTGCCAAAAAGCAATTGAAACAAGGGCAAGTAGGATTAAAATCTGAAATGAAATTTTACTCTTGTGACACAAATTCTATTGTACATTGCATTTTTAATACTATCATAAAAAATTAATTTTGATTGGAATCAATTTAAACTTTCTACACTGCTTAGAAGCATGTATCACGTATAAATGTCATAAAAATGTAAAATTCTTGCTTTCAATTTTTTTGATGAAATTCGGCCAAAGATTGTGTACTATATAGCCTTTGGCCTGATTTTTAAGCAGCTTTAATAATTGAATATTGATTTGAATTAGCTCAAATTCTTAACGTAGCATAAGAACATGTATAATCAGAGAAAATGGATAATGAAATACCCTGTACTACAATACTGGGCCTTTGGTTAAACTTGATTGGTCTACTACTCTTCATTACTTTTATCTCTGCTTACATTGTATGACTGATGTGCATGTATTTCTGTAGGTATCCAATGGTGGTAGGAGGGTCCAGTTGTTTGATTTTGATGCAGAGCAGGACGATGAAGACAATTAACTATACCTTATTAGTACTATAGTGTTGTTCCATTTGTTTTAGCTCTAGTTTAACTAGTTCTTGTACATTATCTTTATTTTGTTCTTGTTGTACCATAGTACCAATAAGATTTAGTCCTAGTTCTAGTACAGCACCTTCAATAGCTCCAGACAGGTATTGGGTACAATTGCATATTCTTGACACCAAAATAAGCATACTTTTATATGTTATGCATTCATGCAACACAAAGATTGTGTACATTGCATCATATGAATGTAACGAGCACTAATTTATTGATCTACATATAGGATAGTGAGTTGGATGTGCCCAGCATTTCTGAAACTGGATGAGATTCAATATAATAATATTGATCAATCTATTAAAACAATAATGCATTTTGTAATTTTGACTGAAATTTTGCCTTTTTATTGACCTGCACTAATGTTTTGTTGTTTAGTAATGACGTGTACCTTGTGTAAAGAAACTATAGCAGAAACCGGTTAATAAACACCTTCAACATAAATAGTGAGCATTCCTATTAGCTGAGGTGATATTGTTTACATATCCAACTTATGTTTGAGATAGTAAGTAATTGTAGCTAAAAGATTTTTGTAACCTAAAATTTTTGTGGACTATTTTTTTCTGAATGGATCATGGCTTATTAACTGAACTGGTATTTAATTTTCTCAAATTTTGCAAAAGAAGCAGAAAAATAATTATTGTCACATATACCTTAGTTTTATTGGGTATTATGGTATGTTAATGTTTATAGTCATATAACAGGAAACAGAAACCTGTTGATTGACACTAGTCAACTGACGTCAAGAACCATATATGAACAGGGTTAATAGTTGTTTGTCTTAGTTTTGTGAGCTTGTATAAAACTAGGAGCAACAGCTAAAATTTTAGTTTAACAATTATTGTTCTACCTGGCAGCAATATGGATATTCATGGTCTGAACTATACCCTTGGTGAAGATGTTAATGGTCCTCTACTAGCAGCTGCACTTGCTGTAGAAATGATTGCTGCATTGATCGTTAATACTTTTGTTCTTGTTGCTACTTTTTCTCAATGCAAATCCTTAAAGTTACCATCTACTATACTCTTTACTTCTCTGATTATGATACATTATGTAATAGCCCTCATATACATTCCATCTTGGCTCATATCAGCAGCATATGGAGAATGGATCTTTGGGAGTACAATACAAGTAAAAGAGGCAACCTGTAAATTTGCTGGATTCATACTGAATTACACTTTGCAAGTCAAAAGTTTTACACTAGCTGCTATATCTGTTGATCGTTGGTTATTCATTGTCAAGCCTATCTTTTACAAGCAATACATGAAAGCTAAACTAGCTGTGGTCCTGGCTGTTATTATTTGGATAGGGTCTTGTTTATCAGTAGCTACACCATTCTTTGGAATCGGAAATTACTTCTTTACAGAATTTGGATCTTGTGAACCTCAATTTTTAGGTGAATTAGGTTACAGTATCCTGATGCTAATATTCGTTTTAACTGCGCTATGCATTATCATAGTTACATCAATTTGGACGTGTTGTTTCACAAGAAGATTCATCCGGGAACATGCTCAATTAGCAGATGAGAGTGCATACGTGTCAAAGAATAGAAGAATCATAGGAATATTTGGAGCAATGCTTGTTGCATATGGGGTATGCTATACTCCTGGTATTATTGTTATTATTGCCAGTCTGTTTTGTGATGTCAATGCTGCAGCTTTTGCTGCAGTGTTGGTTTTTTTCCTGACAGTAATTATTATTAATCCAATCATCCAGTCAGTTTTTAGGCCTGATGTAAAGAAAGTGATCGTTAAATTATGTGCAATGTGTCGAAAATTTCATCATTCTCCGGAGGCTTAATGGACAAGTGGTCTTTAAAGATTGTGTACTGTTTAGGTAGTGACAAAAAAGACATTTCTGTTTTTTTGTTTTTAATAGTTTTAGAATATTTTCATTGTTAAAAATTACTATCAAATAGAGTACAAATTTTAGATTTCAGATCAGTTTTAGGAAGAGTATACATAATACCTTTAGGATCATGAGCTCTTGGCTTTAGTGCATCTATTTTGTGGATGCCTGACATAACAAAAAAGAGGCTGCATGAGCTTGCATATTTTTGTCTATACCTCTCAAGATACTAGTTATCTATATATGCACACAGTGTAGCATTTTAAAATTGGCTGGTTGGCTTTTATAAATTAATTTTATAACTAAAGTAAATGAAGTAATAATTATGTGAGTTTATTATCAATTTCAATGTGTTCCTGTTGCAATAGGCATCATCATTACAGGAGGTACTTCTAATTCTTTGTTAACAGAGGAGTGCATGTACTGGTGCAGCAGCAGTCGTAGCTCACTATTCTGCTGACGTACACCTTCTGTCTCATTGAGCAACTTGGAACGAGTGGACAGAATAGAATGATACTTTTCTAAACTGTCAGTAAGAGCAGTCCACATCTTTTTGTGCTCTTTCGGCAGGAGATTTGTCATATTGGACCAGAATGGGGTTTTCAATAATTCTTCTGTTCCATCACTACCATGGAGACCAAGGACTTTAAAATTGGATGCTTCATTGCTGGACGATGCATGTAACTGAGACTGACGAGTCTCTGTAAACTGCTTCAGAATGTGTGGAACTTGATTCGGATCAAAGATTTCAAAGTCCACAATTGGAGCATCATCGGAATCATCATCTTGAGTTGACTTGACAAAGAACTTCATTAGCTCATTCACATCGTGCTCGCTGGTAACGTTCAAAGCCTTAAAAATTGAATCCAGTTTCATTAACATTTGCTCTTCTTTATCAAGCGGAGATAGCAAATGTGCCAGCTTTGACTCCAGTAGAAATGAACCCTCATTTGCAATAAGCTCTAAAATATGCTTCATGGTGGAAAATGGAAAACTTTTGTGACTTGTAGATGGCATGGCACTACCAGTAGCAGCTTCATCAGCATCACCTGGATCTGACAGGATTTGAGATGCATACATTGTTGCATTGCTGACGTCACGATTCATCTGCATTAAAAATGGCTGAAGAGGACTTGCAGGTTGAGTTGGTGCTTGCCATTCCAGTCCTAGCTGCTGCTTATGAATTATTTCATCGATCTGGCAGACACTGCTACAAACACTTCGAATTCTTTCTTCATTCATTTGCCAAATGTCATAGAACCTCTTAGCATCAATCAATTGGAAGTGTTTGAATTTTTTCTGCAGTTCCTTATATTGCTCGATATTTTTTTGATATTCAGCCATTAAGGATTCAATTTCATCTCGGTTATGCTTTTCTTGCTTCGAGAGTTTTATGTGCAGGTTGTTAAGTACGTCTTGTAAACGAGTCAGTTTTCGCTTTTGCTGGCTGATTATAATCATGTTCTCTTCATCCCGCTTTTTTAATACTTGATAATTGTACTCTAATTTCTCAGCATTTAACTGGAATGTAGCTTTCATTTGTTGAATCTGCTGCTGCAAGTGCTGTATGTCTGTTTCAAGCTTGATCTTTATTTCATTGAGCTCTTCGGCATTTCTCATACGAATGTGATTGATTTTAGCTTCATTCTCTTCAAGACGTTTCTCTCTAATTTCAATGTACTCTGACTCCTTTTCACTTCGTGTTTGCGTCATGTCTCGTATAGATGTGGTTTGCTTTTCAACTAGCTCTTGCCTTTCGAGAGAAAACGACTTTTCTATCTCATTTAGCTCTTCTTGAAAAGCTCGCACAAGAGAGCGTGCCTGCTCTTCCATTCTCTCAACCAACAGATCAACATCTTCTGCTTCCTTTTTAAGATGCTTCACAAATTGCTCATCTTTAAGCTTGAGGTCTTCTTCAAACTCATTGATAAGCTTGTTCTTTTCATCTAACATTTCGTCGCAGGATTTCTTCTGCTGTTGAATGAGAATATGAAGATCTTGTGGAACTTTTTCATTCTTGCTTTCAAAGTTAGTCCACTTCCTCATTATTTCATCAAATCTCTCAACAGCAGCATTAGCTTCTGCTTCAATCTTTTCTGAGCAAGCTTTCTTTGCCTCTGTCTCTTCTTGTCTCCTAGTAACTTCCCTGGACTCTCCAGCTACCAGAACTCCAGTCACTAGCTGATATCCATCAGAAACCAACTTCTTCAAACGTTCTTTACTTTTTAGAATCTGTTGTGAGCTTAATCTACCTTGCTCTGGGTCTGAGTCATCCTCTGGTGGTGTTTCTGGCCTTATACCCAAAGCCCGACGTCTTGCATCTTCCAGTTTTACTTTCACACGGCTTCTTCTTTGCTGTTTTCTCTCTTCTGAACTGTCCAGGAGAGATGTGGTGTGTAAACCAGGAGCCTTTGCTGTAGCGGACATGTTTTCGATTCAGTGTGCAATGTTGTCACCATAGTAACGACCGTATTTGTTCTAATTAATCATCATTTCTAATATGGCGGCATTTGTTCGTTTCTCTCCCGAGTCTGTGGCTCTCTGTGCAGAATCACTGGGGCTATCTTGTCATGAAGATGCCATTAGATGCTTGGCCGAGGACGTCAGCTACAGAATACGTCAAGTTTTAAACGTGAGCTACCCGAAATTGTGAAATGATTAAGTTTATGAAAAATTAATAATTACGATTAGTCTTAACCACACCCATTGCTTGCTTACATTAATGTTATTCTGCACATTGCTCTTTATTTATATTTACATACCCATATTCATGTACATGTGCTTGTAGGTAACTTTACATTTTGCTCATCAGTCCAAGCGCAGTAATGTATTATCAAGTGACTTCAATAGAGCCTTGAAATGGAGTAATATTGAAGTAAGATATTGATTATTAAATTATTTATGTACTGTACATGTGCATGTATTTACATGTATAACAGGGTTTCCCATAAAGCATGCTACAGGTAAGCAAGCTGAAGAGCATGCTTCATGAGCACTTGTAATAAAAAATACAATACATTTGGAACAACTTTATAAAAAATCATAAAAAATCCAATTTTAATTGGATCAGTTCAAACTTGCTACACAACATAAATGCATGTATACCTATCAGAAAAAATTGTAAAAATTTAAGAATCCTCTCTTTGTAATTTCTGTCACGTTGCTAAGTAGCATTCACCCTAGTTATAAATGGCTGCCATAGCTTTTGCAGCCATGCTAGATTCTTTGGCCTAATTTTTGAGCAACTTGACACAATATGCATTATGTAGAAAATTCAAACTGATTCTGATCAAAATTTTGCTTCAAAATTTAGCCAAACTAATACCAAGTAATCTTCCAAAGGTATTTAGGCAAAACTTAAGACCACAACTACCAAAGAATATTTTTGAAGAATGTCAGGAATATTGGTGATCAGGTTACATCTACATGTACATACAATTGTGCACTCTTGAAGCCATTTGTGAGCAATTTAACTTGTACATATATCCTTGTGTACATGTACATGTGTGTTCTTTCTATTGTAGCCAACTTTTGGAAGCTCTGTGCCCCATGACATACCTTGTTTTCATGAATCTGAAGATGTTGGTGTTTCTGATGTTGAGCAGAGATTGGGTGACTTTGTGTATGATTCTTATCTCAACATTAATCTCACTTCTAAGCCAATAACTACTTGCTGTAAGCTCATTCACTCTTTCTTTGAGGTACATTGTGTGTATATTATTTTGTCTAGCAAAATGGCTGACACTTGAGGGAACCTCCCTTGTCCAAGAAGATGACAGTATGTACCTATTTTTTGTTATTTTGTTCTTTTTATTATTTTTATATTAGGAAGTAGTTTGCCAGGGTCTACAGTAGTTCTAAAAACAGCTCCTACTGAAGTATGTATCATACATGTATTCAGTTATTTTTCTTTAGCTAAAATGTATTTATTATTTCTGGTTGTGTAGTTAATGTACATGTACATGTACTGTGTGTATAATGTCTGCAAGTTACCTATTCATTTTTATAAATTGTACATTTTAGGTTCAAAATTATTATTTGTCTTTACTATTGGATGCCGTTACATGCAACAGAGAAGAAGTTCGTCAGGTACAGTCCTTTATATTTGATACTGTGTTTTCACTTGTAATAACTGAAGTACATTTAGACAGTTTACGTTGTGCACATTGTAATCCATTGAAAGTGCTGTAAATTTAGTTTCAAAAACCACCTCCAATGATACATGCACATAGACTAAACCCAGAACATGAGAATTAGCTCACAATATTTTGAGCAATTTTTGTTGAAAATATGAAATTTTAAACACTTTATACACAAGTTCACAAAAGTAGGCTGCTAGCTGTAGTGTACCAGTTGTTACTGTGCATGGGCATGTATGGCAGAGGATATGTCAATATTGGCCAGTGATCAAGTGAATTAGGAGCTTTTATAAAACATACATTGTTTGTACTCCTTCCTCTTCTTGACAGAATTCCATGTATTATTGTTGTTGTTATGATAATGAATATAGAAAATAAACAAGATAGTGTTGTGGTATATTTTTTGTTTTAGAATCTATGATGTGTTTATTTATGTTATATTGATTTGATGCAGGTTGCTCTTCATGACCTGTACACTAATGCTGCAGTGGCTAACATCCTACCATATTTATGTCAGTTTATACAAGAAGTGGTAGGTACTACCGTACATTGACACTCAATCCTGTATGCATCATTCTTTGTCTTATTTATTCTTTCAGCTATCGAGATGGACTAATTACTCGTCTCTTCAAATTATCCGATTTCTTCGTATGGTCATTGCCTTATTTGGAAACGACACACTCTATATCGACCCTTATGTAATTATTATTAATTTTAATTATTAAATTTTCTGTTATCTTTGATTTTTTATAGGCCCCAAATATCCTGATGTTAATACAGTCTATTATTCTTAGCCCTGGCTACTTGGAGTGCAATACTTTGGCTAGTCATTGGGACATTAGGGAACTAGCTGCTTGTGCCCTCTCAAGAATCATTAAGTATGTGAACAGTTGGTATGCATTCTGTGAACTACTTTTAGAAATTGCATACCATTTAATAACCATAACATGTATTTAAAAAATTATCTTACTGCAAAATTTTTGAGGGCTATAGATTTTATAGATTTTGTTGTTTTTTGTAGATTTAAATAAAAAGTTGATTTATAATGGTACAAAGTGGCAGACAGTGTATTTTAACCCACAAAATAAATTTTGAGCAAGTTTTTGTGTAGTTTCTATCTGATACTTTGTACTTCTAATGGTATTCCTGAGGTTATAGCCAATACACTTTCATTGTTGATGCATATGCTGGCTTGTATGTTTTATTGTCATTATTTTCTCTTTAGGAAATGCTGTGCTCCTGGTACTGGCTACTATGATGAGGTTTGTTCTGCTTTTAGTACAACTTTATATCAGAGGGAAACTGCATTACCAGTATTGTACGGAGTTATACTGTGTATATGCCATCTGGGTGGAGAGGTAAATTGTATGTACTTATTTATTGTCCTTTTGTATTATAGAGGGAATGTTAGCCGAGAATTTACAGACATGTACATGTAGACAGTAAAATTTAGACGAATTGCTAAATTTTTGGTGATTGGCATTGTGTCATTGAGCATACACAAAATGTTGTATTTAATTTCATTGAATGGCCAAATTCCCCCCTACGAATTCCCCCCCTCCGAAATCCCCTTCCTACAATGTGATTTTAGGAAATCTGAAATTAAAACCTTTCAGTATTAACTGCCACTAAGTAAAGGATGATAATTTAAACCCACTAATGTATTAATTTTACATTTCCTTTATGTTATAGTGTACTGTCATTATTATATTGTCTAAAAGTGCAGACATGTAAACATGAAATCATTAAAGGGCATATTGCATTATTTAAATTGATACTAATGTTCAACATTAATTTTATTGGGATCAGCCCTAACTGCTGGAGTACACAATGTAGTTTCTTTGTACTGTTTGTCAGGGTGTAGCAAGTTGCAGAGCCCCTTAATGTTTTAAATTCTTCTAGTTTCTATGAAAATTTTATTATTTTTATAAATGCTGGGCCTGATGTGTGTGTGCGTGCGTGTGTGTGTGTGTGTGTGTGCGCACGCATTATAAATGTATCCTTTGGCTATTATCAGTAGCAAGTTGGAGGAGATTCATGTGCTTGTACTTTATACAATCTAATGTTACTGACACAATGCATATGCATATTTCATTAACTGTCACTGTTACCTGTGTATAAAAATAGTATAGACTCTAATATGTTTTCTACCATGCCACCTTGTGATTGACCAATCAGATTGCAGTATTGGAGGTCAATTATTTTTCATATTAACCTAGCTCGTAAAAATATAAACCTATCTCGTTAAATAATTAATTGATTGGCAGTTTGGTACTCTACGCTTATGCTCTTATTAGTCCATTTGTCAAGTTTGGTTGATTCTTTACTGGCCTAGCCTGTTAGATATGTTGTATGTATGTCAACTGTGGTCTTATTATCAGCAGCTGGTAGTTGTTTTTCAAGTGTCATGGTAGAAGTTGGTTATACACCTCGGTATCAGTTTCTATGGCATTTATTAACCTCGCGACTGCATCGCTCGGTTAATAAATACCATAGAAACCTCTACCTCAGTGTATAACCTATACATAATTGTGATTATACACATTCACTCATTATCCATTATACTTTGTATATATTTCATTAGGTCATTGCAAAGATTCTTCTTCCTCAAATGACTATGTTAACTCAGTACATTCAGAGTTTATTAGACAAGTCATCATTGACCCAGCAACAGAATGCCCTACGTGTGTATAATGTTTTACTGGTGAGTTCTCAAATGGGTAATAAAGCTGTGTATTTTTCCTATAAAACACTTGCAGTTCTTGCACATAATCTACTTCATATATCCTTGAGTATGTACAGTAGCTCCAAATTTTCATGCATATTGATTATTGGTAATTTTTGTCAAACAAGCACCCAGAGACAAAATTGTCAGAAATTTTTGACTGTATAGAAGTACTGGATGCTTTCACTTTATTTCCTTATTGTATGTATCCCTCTTGGCTTTATCTACATATTTTTGTATGGGAAATTAAGTTTTTGGGAAACATGCACATACTGACTAGTAAGTTTTGGGTCATGTAGTATGTTTGATATGCAGAAATTTTATAAATGGAATCTATCCCATCTCAATTCAGTCCAGTGTATCACTGTACAGTTTATTGACAGACTACAAGTGCTGAGCATAATATGAGCTCTGTTTGCTAAAAGTATGTGCACAATTTTATGCATGTTTGTTTACATGTACTCAGTTGGGGAATTTTTTATGTGTCATAACATTATAGCTAGTGAAAGAGATGTTGTATTTATCATAGTAAGAACACTTTCTGATGATAGTAACTATAATAATACTTCATTAGTGATTAGGAGATGATATAGTAGTGATAGCTATGTTATTATCTCATAGTGAAATTTCATATCAATTTTAATGAAGCATAACATAGTACTGTACGTGAAGGATTACTCACTGGCTGTGATTATAAACTTCTAGTATAGTATTTATTGTTGATGCTTGTGTGGTAGATACATATTGTACATTGTAGCATAACACATTAAGAAGGCATTGATTTCAGTGTGGTAGACTGCATACACATAGTGTAAACTTATTTCCATTGGCAATGATATTTTCAAGCTCCTTGTAATTATTATTGGAGTATGCCTTTTGTTTTATGACAAAAGACATCATAGAAATGTTTATTTTTATTTTCAACACAGAGCATGATTTTGTTTGCTTTTAATTTTAAAGGTATGTCACTATCTTTAGTTATTAATTAGGACTTGTTAATGAGGATTCCTTCCTTATGGTTTATAGTGATAATGGTGACACATACATGTATGCATTACCTGTGTGCTGTAGTGGGTAGTTTAATCCATTACCAATTGAGAGGAAAGGAAAGGAACATTTACATTGCATGTTTCCCTTTCCTTTGCTTTAACCTTATTAGTTTATGTTTGTAGTATGTTACTAATGATAATATTTATTATTCTTTATCATTCATGTACATATACAGTATACATGTACTGTACAGTACATGTATACTGTACTGTACATGTATGGTCATGTGTAGTAACACTGCATGGCATTATAGTTGAATTACATGTATCTCACTAAAGGACTATGTGATTGTTTCATGATCTAATGAATGATATGCTCCTTTGTACAGTAAGTACCACACTGATGTCTTCAAGAGCTGTGTTATTTACATGTACATGTATTTATTTATTAGCAGTTGTTACGATCAATGTGTTATTTTTTAATGAGATGTTTCGTTACATAATTATTTGATGTGTATTGTTATTTATTATTATTGCATTGCTCTATAAAAACAAATAGAGTAGACACGCACAACAACAAGTGAGCATACAGCAATGTCATTGATGATAAAACAAGACTGTAATCAGTTAAGATTTGATAGTCAAGGATCAATAGTAACTTTAGTTCTAGTACATTTGTGTAAATGTATAGTGTACCCTCTAGTCATTATTATGATGATTTACTATTATTATTATTACGTTAGTGTACTGTGTATTATTATTATAGGTGTCAGCTGAATTGCTTCTTGTGTCTGAGGTAGATCAATCAATAGAGGTTCCACCAATAGAACATTCCTTTACTGATGTCAATTGGGTCATTTCTCCGAATCCGTTAGATGAAGCTGATGAGGAAGTGTCTCTGTACGAGTTCTTTTTAGAATTATTTGGTGAACGACTTCTCCTAAAATTAGAAAGTTACCTAAGAACATCTTACAAGCCAAACGGGTCCAGGCCAGTAGCTCAGGCTCACTCAGCGATCAGTCCTGACATCCAGACTTCCATTAATCGATTATTTGCTTCCTATCAAAAGAGAGAGGGTTTCATTTCACTGAGTCACCTAATAAGCAGTCAAAGGCTGGTCGCTCCAAGGAAGTCAATCCACAGAGGACACAATAAGTTTATTTTACCGTTTGTTATAAAGAAGTATCGTTTGCCAGTCAATCACAATGTACTGGACTTAAAGCACATCATGTCATCAGGACAAAGTGTCTCATCTGTTAGAACTGGTTTTATGTCACCCTATCAAAAACATGTTTCCTATGTTTGTGATCTGTGCAGTTGTTGGCTGTAATTTTAGCTAGACTAGTCATTTGTATTCCTGTAGCTATTATTTTTATTATTTTAATTAACCACAAGATCCGCCCTCACTTTCAGCAAGTTCACATACTTAATCGGGAGTAGTTCTCATTGGTCTCACAGAAAGCAAGTTTAAAATGGTTTTCGGGGACAATACAACTGCCGCCGCCTTCATCGGGGCCTCTGTGACTCTGGTTCTCATCATTATCTTCATGATACTGATGGTGATCCTAATACGACAGTGTCTGGCCTTCATGGCAAAGAGGAATTCCATTAGACAGCAGATAGAGCAGCACAGACAGCAGCGAGCTGAAATGGAGAGACAGAGACGACTGAGTATATCAGAGCCAGTGGATCCGACCTTTGACTGGCATCACTCGATTCGTATTGCGGGCACACCGCCTCCATCATACCGTGAGGCCAAGAAATTACCACCTCTGGCAGACGCATCCTCTCAACAAAGCATCGATAAACTGGGCTGTGATCATGCATCAGATATATCAATTACAATGACTGAAGAAAAGGTAGGAACAGAAACAGACAATAGAATGGAATCTGAGTCGTCCGTGATTGAGATTGCTGTTGAGCAGCCACCAAACGATACCGTTAGTCCGAATACCATTCCATTGCCTGATACTGCACTGAACAATGAGGGGGAAGCTGCCGATAGTGTATCTGGCACTGACTGACAATCCCTCCTCATTGTTTTGAATTCATTACCTTTTATGGAAATCAAGTTACACATCCTCCACATACTACAAGTGTATTATCTAAGTTTAATGACCGCACAATGAACTATACATTTTTTCTTATTTTAACTGTTATATTGGACGAGACACAAATACATGACAGTATTATTATGTTTTCTTGTTAGCGTCGATAAGTTGAAATTGTCACCTTATACTTTGAATAATATTATTCTTTTATTCCTTGCACAATCAATAAATCAATTTGGGAGAATAATGTCATAGGTGATTTCCTGTAATTTCAGCATATCTGTGTAATGGGCTATCAATGTTTGGTATTATTGAAAGTCACAATATATTATGTCTTGATGCCAACATGTATTGTAGTAGTCAGTAAATATCCTTATAATCTTGAGCTATGTTGGCAGAAGGATTGAACCACAATTATTGTTTATGCAAATCAGCACACAAAGCATTCACGTTAAATGTATCGTCAGACATGCAATCAACTAGCAGCCTACAGTCTAGTCTACATGTATACACACAGTATAGAGTTGTGCATGTGTGTCCTTCCTGTGTTACAAACTTTTATCATTAAGAATCAGCTTGTTTACAATACACTGTAAATAATAGGCACTTCAGTGCTTCACTTGTTCGTCCCTATGCATCATGCAAAGTGAGTCTCTTTAAGACTTAAAAGCCAAAAGGCAATCACCAATGCACAGCTACATGAGTACACCATTAGATGCCGCAGTACTGGCACTAGGGTGAACTGACTGTTAATTGCTGGCTTTAATGATCTTGACATTCTGATCCCAACAGGATAACTTTATGCAACAGGCAAATGGAATTCTTGTAGCATTTTGTGAAGCAGCAAACACAGACAAAAATATGCACTATGCAGCAAACTGCATTGAATTGCAGTGTAGTATCATATGCAAGCATGCATGCATTCCAAAAGGGGGAGGAGCTATCAGCATAAACGAATATAGAATACGGACATATCCTGACGTCACAAAGTAAACACTATAAATGGTTTGCAAAGATTGTAAGTCCATTTTATATCTTTCTAGCTTACTAATTTAGTTTATTTATTATTAAAGGTGAAAAGAAACTAGGTAGAGTGATCTGCCCTGATCCATGGAAGTCTGGAGCAAGAAATACAGTAGGTAAGCCCAGTCAATTGCCTGGTACCATAATAGCTGGGTGGTTTTGTAAAAATTCCCAATAATTGTACATGCAAGATCAATATGGTCTACATCATCAGTATAACCCAGACCATTTTAATTAATTAATAGGTCATTTTCTCATTACATGTATTCTGTAGAGCGCAAAGTTTTAAGTATTGTAAATCATTAAAAATGACGAGGTGTGTTTTTATAATTTTATCTTATGCATATACATGTACTTATGTTGTATAGAAATTTTCAACTGATTCCGATCAAAATTGGATTTTTTATGAAATTTTAAAGTTGCTCAAAAATCTGTTCACTGACCCTGTACTATGCCAAAAATGACTAGGAGAGAACCCTCTTTTTTAATAATTTTTTCAGTACAAATTTTGAGCTGATTCCAATAAAAATTGGATTTTAATTTTTAAATTGCACAATTTTGCCAATCTACGTATAGTCTTATAAATGCTATTATCAGTTTGGGAGCTTGTTGTACTATAGATTGTATTTACAAAAGTTAGTTAGAATGAATGTACTGTATTGTACACGTATTTTCTTAAGTACATGTAAACGCTGTGGTGTGATCACATGGTGTCTATTTTATTATTAATTTGGAGAGTCCACCAGTACTTTGTGTACCCTGTAAATATTAAGCATATTTGGAGACACTGATGCTTCAAATGGTCTACCTATCCCATGTGTCTCATGTAGCCAGTTGTCTTGTATAGCCAGACTCCTCCTTTTTGTCCAATTGTCAGAAAGGACGAATATTTCATTTCTTTTTACTCATTTTTTGTTTGATCAAGTGTTCATTGAAGCCTTCTGTTTCCGTGTAGTCAATGTGTTCTTGAAGACACGCCCAATTTTAATTGCATTTTTTGATACACATGAATTTATTGTCATGTACATGTAGGTTTGAGTTTAAATAGAGTATTGCAATATTGGGTTTGATCTCAGAAATTTCTTGCTATACATGTATGGTAATAATGGTTTTGTCTTTAATTTTTTAAATAGAAAGTGGTGGTAGAAAAGTAGGAGAAAACAAGGTCCTCACATCAAGAAAAGCAAGGTAATGGAAAGTGTACTGTACCTCAATTCTTAATCTTAATACTGCAATGCACATGTAACTTGTGCACTGGTTGTGTCCACTCACCTAAATATTATTTTTAACAGTCACACTTCACAAACTCCATTTAGTGTATATTGTCACTAGGTTTGCTCCTTACACAAGATTTTCAAAGTGCAAGATATGTAAGCAGACAGTGCATCAAGCAGGATCAAATTATTGTCAAGGTTTGAGGCAACTTTTCATTTATTTATTCATTGTGTGTGTGTTTGTTTGTAGGATGTGCATATAAGAAAGGTATATGTGCTATGTGTGGAAAGCAGATTATTGATGTGAAGAAATATGTCCAATCAACAGTATAATTTATTATAATTATATGCACTTCATTTCATTTTTAAACTTGTTCCAATGGCTCTTGTTAAAAATTAATTATTATAAAAGAAATTACAATTAATGAGTCTAAACTCAGTGATTGTTGCTTTTATTGTTAACACTCGTTTGCACCTTCAAGAGTATTTAATCACCAACTGGCCCTTGCAGAGTAGTGGGTCTATAAATCTATTTGGAAAAATTAAAGTTGGAATTGGCTCAAACTTTCTACATAGCATAAGGACATCAATCAGAAAATGTAAATAAAACTGGGGAAGGGTATTTCAAATCAATTTTTCAGAAGAAAGCATGATCTATATAGGAAAACCTTAATTGAGTCAATACTGCTTTTTTCCAGGTACACAGAAGCTAGCTGGTATATTAATGTAATTAACATAAAAAACAAAAATAGTTTTTTAATGTTCAACATCTATTTCATCAACAACATCACAATTATCATCAACCATTATGTCGTTATTGATCTGTTCATCTTCTGCTACATTGTGTGATTCATTTTCTTGGAGTAGTCCCTTTATTTCATCCTCTCTTGATTTTATTGTTTCTAAAAATAAAAAAAATAAAATAGAACAAATTATTAACAGTTTGATTGGCTAGAGTATGACCATGGACTATTATGCCATGGTATTATCCTAAAATGGTATTTGAGTCTGAAATCATCCTCACTTTCTATTACATAGTTCTGATACAATATCACTGAATTTAACATCATAATAATTACATACCTTTAATTAAGTTGCTGCTCTCAGTCAGTAGGGTCTTTGTAGCTTCGTTGTGTTCAGAGGGTAGATAAAATAAAGGAGGTTGAGCTTTAGTCTTAATATAGCCAGTGAGTTTCATATCATGTTGGTTCCAATCCTCATACTAATAATGTGATACAATTAATAATTATTGTTAACTACAGTTTCAACCACAACCATTGCACCAATGCAACCCACAAGAACTTTTACAAGCTACTGGGTATGAAACAAGAGGGAATTAGAGTTATAGGTTTGAAATAGTCAGACTTTATAAAATTTTTGAATGTGTTAGCCTAACCTAGTCTGGCCAGCTAATCCTGCATTAATATAAATGACTTAACATTACTTAATTTAATTTTGAATCAGTAATACAAAATAACCAAATGACTACAAGTGTCAAAAAGCTTTAAAAGGGAGTACCCTATCAACAGAAGGAGCATGCCCACATGCTTTTATCATGAATAATTAATGTGTGGTACATACCAGTTCAACAGATTCAAGTTGATATGTTAGTTTTCCCACGAGCTTTCTTTGTAACTTCCTTTGATCTAACAACATCTTCTTCTGTTGTGTTGCTTCCTCTCTTTCCCTCATAGCAACTTGCTCCAGTTTATTTTCTATTTGTACTCTTCGTTTCTCCTAATGATAATGATGGTTAATATATTAGCAGTCACTAAGCAAACCTGTTCTGTATCTTGGGAATTATCTTTCTGAAATTTTTGTAATGTCCCCATTAACATACCAAACATGCGCCGATTTCTATTAGCAATAATAATAATAATAATCATAATGTTAAAATTAAATATTTGTATTGGTCATATCATGCAGTCTTTACTATTATCATGTTACCCCCTACCATACCTTTGTCGACTAGTCTTATCAGTATTGAGAGGTGCAGTGGGTCGGGGTGGCACAGGAGCAGTACTCACTGAAGACTATGAGAGGAGAGAGTCAATCGGAGGAGAGTGTCATTGTGTAATGTATAGTATGAAACAAAATGGCTGCATTGGCAGTTTCTTCACTGAGCCACATATGCAGCCAATCAAATTCGCTATACAATGTGTCTATACATTATAAGCTCTTATCATAAATAGCTACAATGTACACGTAATTTTATATCTTGGTTTTTAACAATTTCCATGCCTGCTGATTAAATAAAAGACATAATAACTGTAAGTAGCCTGTATTTTACTAGAAATAATGTAAAACATTGAGGGGGCTCAAACTTTGGCCACACCTCCTAGTCACGTCCCTAAACATATGTATACAAAAATTTTCATAAGTAAAAGCTTCACCCAATCAAGGGGCTCTATCACTCAATATACATGAAGAAGCTTTAGTCAATAATTAAATTTTAATTGGCTTACCCTCAGATTCACAGAAGAGTCAGTCTCAGATTTATTAATATCATCATCTCCTTCAAAATCACCACTAGAGCACAAATAAAAAATAACATAATAAATTATAATATAGTGGGTAAATTTGGAGGGGTTAAATTTTGGCAAACTGCTAAATTTTGGTGATTGGCAGTTTTTAATTTGGTGGATTTGTGGCCATGTGCCATTGAGCATGCGTATAATGGCTCAAAATGGCAGATTTTTATTTTGGCAAATGGCTATCAAAACGCCAAATTTAATCCCCTCCAAAATTTCCCACTACACGGTAGTTTGTACATTATCATAAAAGAGAAAGCAATTTTAAAACAATACCCTGATTTATTAAAGCTTGAGCTTGATATTCTTCTCTTGGTTGGTGGAAGGTTATCATCAGACCTACAATAAATACAGAAAATTACTTTCTGATGAAAACTATATTACCAACCAGGAAGGTCTTGGACGTCCTCCTGACATGCGTCTTTCACTCTGAAAAGCATCCCTAAATAAACAAATTATAATATAAAGAATCAATCATTTATATTTCGAGGCCACAGACAGTATTAACGGTATTTATGGACCAAAAAAGGCTACAAAAGTTCTGAATTATTACATATTACCAGGATTCTCCATAAAGCATGCTAAGTGAACTAAAGAGCATGAGCTTCATGAACTCACAAGCACTTACAGTACATGTACATTAATTGCATTTGAAGCAACTTTAAAATTAGTAAAAATCAATTTTTGATCGAGATCAGCTCAATTTTCTATATAGTTGTATATGTACCAAAATCATAAAAATGGAGAATTCTCTCCTAGCCATTTTTGATCAAATTCAGCCAAGATCCCTGTACAGGGTCTTTGACCTAATTTTCGAGCAAGTTTAAATATTCATTAAAAATCCAAAATTTGATCTGGAATTAGTTCAAAGTTGATACACAACATAAGGGCATATATATGTATCACGAAAATTATTATTAAAATGGAGAATAACTCGCTGTTTGGCCCAATTTTTGAGCAACTTGACAGTCCACTGACAAGAAGCTGCATGAGCACTATGCCATTATCATAGGGAAAATCCTGCATATCACATCCATGCCATATCACCATGCATTCTAGTGAGAACGTGAAAAATCTCAAATTTTTAGGACATAGTTACTTCGAAATTAACGATTAAGGCTTCACCTAATCATTCTTAGTAAACTTGAACTCCAAAATGATGGCAGAAAAATTGTACTTCATTTATTGAATATACTTAAAATTCAATTAATAATTATATTTAGCGGCAACTCGTCTATCGACTAAATAACTTACATGTGTACGTCTTTTTTTAAATAAAAAGCTAGTGTAAAAATTATAAAATTGAAATTACTGCAACTGAATCGTGATTTGGCAAAATTTCTGTACTGCTCTAGATACATGCAAGGATGAATCCATGATGTTCAACCCCACGCCTACTTCCTGTTCAGCTTAGACTCACTTGGATTTAGGATCCCGTCCACTAATGCGCAATATAGCGTGGTTAGTTCCTTCCAAGTTCTTTTTTGCTTCTTGCAGGGACTTGTGAAGGATTTGAACTGATCCTAAAGACATGTCGAGGACTTCTTAAGGCCAATTTGATAGGTTGATTTCCCAAGTTATTAAGTATCACGTGGAACTGGGCGTGGTCACACCACCCATTATTATTATAATATACAAAAATCAATATTAATTTTCAATTTTTATTATTAATTTATTATCATTATTTCGTGGTTTGTAAAAAATAATTCACCAGTACTGTACATGAAAATGAAAAGAAAAAACTAGAAGAACAGTAAATGTCAGAGAAAATTTAAATTAAACAAACAACTAGCTGGTAATTAACTCTACAGTCATGAGAAATGTGTCTCGGTAGCCAAACAGGTCGCCCTACACATCACTGCTAGCCGATGAGACAGTTGGGGGAGGACTTAATTTAGACTGTAAGAAAAAATGACATAAAATTATTAATGTAAAAACATAAATAAACAAATATCCTCCTTATGTAACTGAAAGTAGTACAGTAGACTTTCAGTAGATTAGTTTTTTGTACATCAAATACAATTTGCATGCTGAATCGTATTATTATTATCATTTAATGTTTTATGATGGTGCATTAGGACCTACCATACGCTGATTAAAGTCTTGATTAGCTGCTCTTAGGCTTTCAATTAGTTTATCCTTTTCGTCTAGTTGCTGCCTAAAATCATTGACTTCTGTTTTAAACTACAAATTATAAAAATTACTATAAAATATTTCAGTTAAAAAATTTTATTATCCAAATAAATGGAAGCACTACACAGACTGCACTATTATTGCTATACCACATACTTGTCCTAACTGGTTGTTCAGGGTCTCTTTCTCGGCTGCCAAATCTAATAATTTCTTTTCTGTTTCTTTTAATTTGTTATTAAGAGTGTCTCTTTCACCCGCCACTTCAGCTAATTTCTTTTCTGCCTGCTCCAACGATTCCTTTTCCTAAAAATAAAAAAATCAAATTAAAAAATAATTATAATGAAATACTTTATCTTGTTCTGCAGCAGCCTTTGCCTTTTCTTCATTTATTAATAACTGCAAGGAATCAGTTTTTGCCTGTAAAGCCGACTCATGGTCTTTGACAAGAGACTCCTTCTCCAGTCTAAGAGCATCAAACTGACTTGTCAGACGCTGCAAATAAAAACCATAACAACAAAGTACTAGTAAAACAACTGAGGAGGATTTTAACCGTCACAAATACTGAATTACTGACTATGTACTTATTTCTGATACAAACGTGTTTTATGCTTTATTTTTGGAGGTTGAACACAACATATTGTGGACATCATGATAGCAATTATTTTGAGTGAGCAAAATAAGCACCAAATAATATAAATATTCCCTTCTTGGTGAGCTAAGAGCACTAGCATTATTATAAGCTAGACTGATTAGTAGCCATTTTAATTGATGCAGCACATGCACGCACATGTGGTATTTAAGATCTAATTAATAATTAATAGACTTTAGTCAGTGCGCAATTGGCTCACCAAGTAGAATATTCTGAAGTAAAATGGTGCTCATTAGGGAAAAATTGGTGCTATTTTGAGCACTAGAGCACTGTTATTTCCTACCCTGCTTACATCATTATCCGAAGACAGCTTCTCTATCTTCTCTTTAGCACTGATCAATTCTTTATCAATACTTTGTCTCTGAGTCCGTTCCTAGCATGTAGATATACATGTAAAAATACACACATGTCATGAACACTGAAACACATTACACATATGCTATGATTATAAAAAGGCACAAGAGTGGAGTGGCTGATACAAGAGTGTAATTATTGTGTGTGTGTGTGTGCATGTTCCAATCATGTGTATAAGTCAGTCACAGCTTCTCTTGGCACTGCTCTTACAGGCCTGGGCCACAAATGCATAGCTTTATTGAGCTGTATCTTTTCATTGCTGCTGGTATTCTCTCATTTCATTCTCATAAACAACTATTCCTATACAGTACACACTGTATTACACACACCTCATTTATAGTGGAATTATAGCCTTTCTCCTTCTCTTCCCATTTCTTCATTAGGTCCTCTAGTTTACTTAGCTAAAAATAAAATTAAAATACATCATTACATGTCAATTAGACAATAATACACTAGCGTACTGTATCAGAGAGGGTATCCCGCAGCTCATTTGTCATTGCAGTTCCTTCCTCAATCTCTTTCTTCATCTCTTCAATCTTAACATTTTTCTGTTTAGAGTCAGTCTCTGACTCACTCAGTTTCTTGGGTATCCATTCCTTTGCATACTGAAGCCAGCCATCAAAATCAGCCACATCATCTTTTAATAGTGGAAAGGCTGACTTTAAGAAATCCTACGGAGGTATTACAAATTTATTAACACAAAAGACAATTGACAATACAACTTAACATTATAATCATCCTAATGCACTAGTAGTCTAGTATGCACTAGTAATCTAGTACGCACTACAAGTATACAAGTCTATAACAGGCTTACAACCTTGTTTACTAGAGTTGTACAATCGATAACCACAAGACGCATACTAAAAGCTGGAGTATGAAATCAAACTGGTCACACATACATGTACATGTACAACTATTACAAGCCTTTTCTATCCTCAACGACTAAGGGGCAGTAACAGTTCCTCTATCTATTAAAACTTTTGAGCACAGAAAATGATTTACTTTAAAATTATCTTTAGTCTCCGTAACATTTCTATTGGCAACTTCCAAGTCTTCTTGAGTCTTCCATGCCTGCTCACGAAGCACCTAATGATAATAATAATAATAATATGATTATGATTGTGATGTAAAAAACAAACATCATTTTTCTTCTTCAAGTCATCTATCTTGCTCTGCATTTCAGTAACATCACTAAAATAATAAGATTAAACATTAAAGATATGCATGTACTAGCAAACTCACTTTGCTGGTTGAACAGGCACTGCTTCCTTTTCCTTTTTCAAAGCCTACAAGAAGCAGAAATACATTTAAAGAATAAAATGTACTTTAATATAAAATTAAAATACATGTACATGCACATGAAATAAAAATTATGAAAATAGAACTTCGACATTAGTAAAAACAATGCCACTGTTATATTGCACTACTAATGATAAAAGTGAATTAATGCTAAAAGCAAATTAATTAATCCTCTTCTCTCTCAGTGAAGTACATGTAAATGTACAAAGTCTATATCACACAGCACAGATTACCTCTTCCTTCTCATCCAGTGTTTTAGATAACTGTTTTATTTCATCATCCTTTAGCTGAAGCTTTTCTCCCAATGACGTCATCTTTTCACGAACTTCTTTCAACTCCGTTACTTTGCTATTGACACTGTCTTCCAACTGCCTTAACGACTCCTTTGCAGTCTGCAGCTCAAGTGAAGTTTTAGTGCTGTCACCTTGAAGATTCTTCTGAGATTGTTCTGATTCCTGTAAGGCTAGTTCCTTCTCTTGATATTTCTTCTTGAGAGCCTCAAGCTCCTTTCTTAGTTCTACCTTTTCTTGATCAACTGAAATTAATAAAAAAATTAATTATTTATAGCCTAGCCAAGTACAGGTGTACAAAACAAGTGCATGTACATGTATACAGCAGGGTTTCCCACAGAATTTTGCATTGTGCTCTGCTTATTTTAAAAGAGCTTTTAAAGCTGCTCAAAATGGTCAAATACCAATGGTATTCACCAAAAAATGACAAGGAGAGAATCTTAATTTTTCTGATGCATAAACAAGATCTTATGCTGTGTAACGAAATTGAGCAGATTCTATTCAAAATTAGATTTATAAATTTTAAAGCTGGTTAAAAAGCTGTATCAATGTACTTGATTGATAATGTTACAATGGGAAATTTACTGGGAAAAATAATTTAGAAAATACATGTAAGATAGGTAAACATGTACATTGTAAAGTATGTCATTAAAAATAAATATGCAATCAAAATAACACTAATGGCAAAACAAATGATTAGGACTGCAGTTCGTGGTCTGGGAATTCAAGGCATTAATTGGATAATGTGAAGACATTTCCTTTAGTTGTTTACATGTACATGTACATGTATATTCCTGAAGGATCCATACAATTGTGTACAGTAGGTGAGTTACAATGTAAAGTGTAATGGTGACCTTTTGAATATGAGACGTATAGCATTTAATAAAATGAGTTGGACATGTTTGTATAACATTAAAATAAAGCTGATGTACACGACTCTAGACTCTTGCTTATTGCACCAGTCACCACCTGAATCCATTCATAGCAATACACTAGTGCCTGTAAGCATATGGCATAACACAAGAGTGAAGACTTTCTTACACCATGCCACAATACTCCAATTAATGCCCTTATACCACAGACCATATTAACTTGTTGTGTACTGATAATGTGTCACCTGCTGATTCTTCAGAAGTTGAGGCTTTCCTCTGAGTCTCTCTGGCAACATTGAGCTCACTAGTTAGCTTCCTTATCTCTTCACGATCTACAAAGAAAGAATAATCATAATAATCAATAGATTATACATTGTAAATGGATAGTCAATAATTACTAATACCATTGGACATTAGGCACATACATGTACATGCAATATTGCAGATTCTGTGACAGCAAAAGTACTGGATAAGTACATGTGTATACTGTTAAGTTGCACATCAGCTACAGCATGTGAAATATATTTTTGTGGAATTATAAAAAAATCTGGGACTAAAATGACCTTGATATACTGTAACTTATAATTCTTGTAACATTCATTTCCACATTTATTGCAAGCTTAGGGTACATTATAAATGGTTATTAAAAACTATGGCACATGCACATGCATCCAATTAAGCCAAAAAATTAAAATAAGCCATTATTTGAATATTACGATACAGGCATGGTGTTGCTTACTGTTGCTAATTTCACTGAACAGCTGCTTATTCTCTCTCTGTGCTGTTGACAATTTGTCAGATTCATTTGCTAACTTCCTTGAGGCCTCATCAAAAGCGTTCTGTATATCCTGGTATTGTTTTATTTGAGTAGACAATTCAGCATTTAACTGAGACTTGTCCATTGCTCTACAAAGAAAATACAATAGTAACAATACAAAATAAAAACTGAAAAATATAACTAGTAGAGTGACTGATATCATAACATAGTAGTCAAATGTAAAATTAAATATGTACATGTACCACAACAAAGGTATATTTATTCTTTTACAAGAAACATCTTTATTATTAAATTGATGATGAGTAGGAGAAGACTAAATGCAATTATAAACTCTTTAATTGTTACAAATTACAACCTCCTGATTTTGCTTCCACCCTCAAGTAAAATATCAATAACATAAGAAATACATGTACAACACATGTAGTGTACATGTACATATAGTTGACGTACAATTGCGACAACTGCTTTAAATAGGTTTGATTGCTTTCCTGTAGTCTTGCCAATTCACCGTTCATGTCCTGTCCTTGGCGGCTCTCTGCCTCTTGACGATATCGTTGAACGCTCTTCTTCAAATTATCTAAGTCTTCTTGCTGCTTTGCAAGCTTTGCCTATTATTAACAATAACAATATACTTATACAAATACCAAGCAATTTCCTAAGAATTACTATGTACGTTTTGAAGTCTTCTATTTAATAAATGTACATCCTTTCATCACACGTCTGTATTCATGCAATAAATGGTTTCTATTGTTCAAACAGTATAATTTTCCTATTTTCAGTAAGTAAGTATGTGTTTATGGCGCTAGAGGAGATTCACTTGGCTGATAAAGTATACTGATAAAATGTCTAACATACCATAAGACAATTAATAGATAAGAACTTGTATTTTACTAAGCATTATAGCCAAAATCTTCAATTATTAAAAAAATGATAAGTTATGCACATACATGTATGTTATTGCAACATAGCAACTTAGCAATTGGACCTTATTGATTACATGTAATTTAACATGTGTGCATTTACATGACATGTTTACAGTAATATAAGGTAACCATTCTAAAGGAAAACACAATGGTATTGTAAAGTTATACTCAGCTCTCGTATTTCATACAAGTACATTATTTATGAACAGTAACCCTATCAAGATTACCTTGTAGTAATTGTATATTCCAGGAAGCATAAGGTACAGATTAATATTACATGTAACATGCATACTACACATTTCCTCAAATGTACATGTATACATGAGGCATACCTGAAATGCAGTCTCTGATGCTGATAGACGAGACCTTTCCTGCTTTAACTCCAACCCTAACTCCTTCACTCGTGCACTGTGTGACTGAGCAGACTTCTCAGCTACACATAATTAAAACAGCAAGTAAGCTTTGGCATTCATGTATTACTAATTCAAAGTCAATATGTACACTGATATATTATCAATACCATTATGCTAATATTCCCCAATACATGTACATGAGCAATACAGTTACTAACTCACCATCACGAGCTCTAGTAGCCAATTCCTCATTTGTTTTCTTAAGAGACTTTATACTATCAGCTCTACCAGCCTAACAGGTAAAGGAATCATTAACATAGAGCACTTAACAAACACAATAATACAAGTAAGGAAGTGGGGAACGAGAGTCTAGCTAATAGCATACTGAGTTACTAACACTATAGTACAATGTAATATTAGTACCATAATAATGATAATTAAAATCATAGGATTACTGACATATAATCACATGCACACACACACACACACACACACACACACACACACGAAATAATAACAAGACGAATGTAAATATTAAGGGGTTCTGCCTCCTGCAAAGGCTACACAAGGCAATATACAAAGTTTAGATGCCAATGTAGCTGAAGTCAAGTCAGAAACAAACATTTACTTGACTTTCACAATTACGAAATACATACATGTACATGCATATACCAAACTCTACTGGTCTTAGAGAGCTTCACTCAATTAAAATGATACGACTTACAGCTTCCCACTCTTCGCTCTGTTTCTCGAGTAATTTTTCCATCACAATTTGCACCTCTTCCTCAGACAATGGACTATTGGCTATAGCTTCAGCAATTTTAGAGCCAGACATGACAACTAGATAATACAAAGAACAAAGGAATAGTAAATTATTACGTACACAAGTCATGATACTTGTACAATACAGTGACAATGGATATGACTATAATCTTTGAAAGTTTACACTAGCCAGAGTTGCTTGGTAAAAATATTGGTTACCACTTCTAAAATAGCCCGAAGCAAAATTATTAGAAAATAACATTAGAGATAAGATGATCAATACAGTTTATGGACTGGTACAATTATACATGTAGTTTGGAAACTTTTTATCACAAGTAATATTTTCGCACATAAATGAGGACAAAACCACTTCACTAGTCAATGTACATGTAAGTAATGATAGCAAAATCATCAAAACTAAGCAGCTACATGTACATGTATACAGTGAAACTACAGTGCAAAGTATGATAACATACGAATGCGGAATAAAAAATCTGATACTGATAAAAAGATGGCAGCATCCTTTAGAGTCAGTTCCAATTGTGGTTACCATGAAAGTTCAATAAACTAATAACACACAAAAAATCCTTTGCCAAAATAAATACCACCAAGTACTGATGAGACTGAATTGCCAAATAAACTTGAGCAAATTAAAATCTACATGTACAAGTAAATTAGACAGGTAAAACTACAAGTACATGTACATACATGTGTTAAATGTAATGAAAGAATAGCCCAATGATTTATAAGAAGCATGGTGCACATTTTGTAGATAAGCTCCTTCTAACCAAAATGTACACACATACAAATTATTCCTTCTACAATTGGGAGTGTTTTGTTTAGTGTAATCTAATAAATAGTATAACAGGCATATATACAGAAGAAATACTTAAGAACCACAGTGGATCATGAATGTACAATGTATTATTACTAAATACTTAAGAACCACAGTGGATCATGAATGTACAATGTATTACTCATCACTACATTTTTAACATGAATTACACAAATATGTCCAGCTAGCATCTGCCAATAAATCACAACAGCACATGTGTATGTGTTTATGTGCCACATGTTGTACCAGTGAACCACAACTGTCAACCAACACCAACCACTGGTGATGTACATGTATAATGTAGCAATAGCCACTAAGCCCACTACCACAAATCTGTGCAGTCTCCTAGGCTAGAAGTAACATAATTATAACAAATAACTTCACATACATGCAACAAGCAATCTGAATATATTTAAACCTACTTGTAATTTATACTATTCTATATACTTAATGTATTCAAAATATTCATGATAGAAAACATGCAATAAATATACAGAAACATTATTGTAATAATCAATTGTAGTCACAAGAAACATGAAGAGCTTCTTTATCTACTTAGTACAAATAACAAACACACCATACATGACACACACACACACACACACACACACACACACACACACACACACACACACACACACACACACACACACACACACACACACACACACACACACACACACACACACACACACGCATGCACACACACACACACATCACTGCAGAGTCTGAACTACTGATAAAGGACACTAGGAGTAAGAATGAAGAATGTCACACATTGATTAATGCTGTGACCATCATAAAGTTCATTCAAATGTGTTAATAAGAACTAAAAAGATCTGCTAATGAGTATATAATGAAACTTTAACATTTGTTACAGTATATTGTATCAAATATTACAGGGCACTAACATATGGCTTCACCACCAGGCAAAAATGATTAGAAATTAATGTAAAAAATTTAAGCATATTCATCATTCAGAGGTCATACTGCCCACACAAACCATGAAATTGTCATGGGATACAATGAATAATATGATAATTGATCACAATGACCAGTATCATGCAAATGACCTTTCTGAAAACCCTCATGTATGAGTAATTATAATAGCAGTCACTAGCAACTAATTATTAAGAAATTCAGTAAAACTGATTAAAAATATACATAGTCTAAATGGTTTTACAAGGTGAAGGCTAGTATATGCACCCAGTAATGTACAATAAATCTATGTATACCAGTAAAGGGTATAGTAACTGAATGACCATACTGCATTCCCTGTGCCAATACTAAACACTGAACCACAACCCAGTCTCATAATTTGATTGAGTATACTAGGATTTAAGACAAAACTGAACTAAATGGCTTTAGTGTACTATTGGGGAGACACTAAAGCTCAATACAAAGAAAGTGAATCCAGATCATTGGAATTATCTAAAGGCACAGACTATGCAATCATTCAATCCTATACTACATAAATAAACAACATCACTACTAATTCAAAACAACATCTTATTTATACAATAATTATCCTTTTTAATGGGTTTCTAATTTCTAGGTAAATACCATTACAAATATAAGATTTGAGGCATCAACACTGCAATTTCTAATACCAGTAATTAACATTATTTCCAACAAAACGCAAAAGGCTAAAGCACTTAAAGATATAAAATAACAAAGGACTATTTACATGTACATGGCTATTTATCAGGAAGATTATATTCTCAATGACTTCATGACCACAAACCAACTATTCAACTACATATTATGCAATAATGCACAGGAAAAGCTGCTATTACATGTATGAACTGAGCTTGTTTACATGTACAAGCACATGTACACAAAACAAGTCCAAATGTCTAGTCCCACGAACACAAAAGGAAATAATTTCCCCGTAGTAACTTCAAAATAGTAATTATGAGCCTCTATTGTGGTAATCATTACATGGAAACATTATAACTTCCTTATTATTAAGTCACGAGACACAACTAAGCATGATAATGGTATTGTAGCTCACCCACTATTGAATAGTAACTGGTCTAAACACTAAGACTCACCTTCACTAGAGACACTGGAAGAATGGTGGGTAGACTGCTTGACCTTTGTTTTCACTTTCTTTGGTGAAGGACGAGACTCTTCAAATTTAGGTTCTTTAGCACTTGGAGGCTTGCGTTCTTGCAATTGGGTTTTAACGGAAGGGCTTTTATTCTCAGCAGCCTGGGGTACCACAGGAGGTGTCTTTACCTCCGGCGCTGGTGGAGGTTTCACATCCGTTTCATGTGTCTGGTGCTGTGTTTTGGAGGGCTTGGTTTTCTTTTTACTTTCTTCATTTTCCTTTTGACGGACCAGAGTCTCCTCGACTGGTACTGTCGTTACAGGCAGAAACTCACCAGTTGGCTCAGTGCTGGGGGCTTCAGTATCACTATGCTCCTGAATAACAGCTTCACTCAACACCTCCTTCTTCTTACGTGGTGAACCATACTGCTTCTTCTTTACTTTTCCTGTTTTTGAGACACTGAGATTGGCTTGTGGTGGGGAATCACGTTTTTTCTCTTCCCGAGTAGAGACGAACCAAACGACCATCATCAGTCCAAGTACCACAACGGTCCCTAATCCAGCAGCCCATATTATTTCTGGAGCCAATTCTTCCAGCATCTTCAGGCCTTGCTTCTATAGATCATACACCACAATCAAAAGAGCATTGCCACCCCTCACGATCACACAGTGCAGTGTACAACTGATGTGGCACGTGACAATTCGGATCGCCACGCCCCTTAATCAGTAACACGTACACGCCCATTATTAAATGTATTGCATGCACTCAGTCTCTAATGCTGCAGTAGTGTACAAATGCTTGTCTGCAAACATTACTGCAGTTGCTGATTTACACAATGCAGGATATAAAGTAAAGACTAGTCAATCATTATTTAAAAATTGAAAGAACAAAAACCACTAAAATTATCTAACATAAAAATTCTAAAAACTAACAAAGCTAATGATTCAAGGAATGATATAGATTGTATTATTGTCACGAGAGACCCAGTCTATTTTGTTTGGATGATGAAAGGACTTCCTTCTAAATCTTTGCCATGCCACTTGACAGTAATTGTTGTCTCACCAGGATCAGATATATGATACGAGACACTGAATGTGTAATCACCATTATGCTTAACAGCAATATAATCAGCAGGAACATAAGCACCAGACACGCCTACTTCAAGGTGGCCTGTACCACCTGCATTCTTGCAATCAACTTCAAATGAGCCAGGCTTATCAATACCAGTAACGAGACATTTTGAAGCATCAGGATCACCTCTTCCACTGTCAACACTCACTTCAAAAGGTGCCCCAGGGACTGGCTCATCATTGAACTTAACGTTGATCTTATAAGATCCAGGCCTTGGTGCTTTATATGTGACATTAAACATTCCTGGTTCAGGCCCTGGCTCACACTGCACATCAGCAACCTCAGCGGGCCCCTCCATTTGAAGGCCAAGTTGGCCTTCCCCAGCTTTAGTGGCATCAACGACAAAATGAGCTGGCTCGTTAGCGATAGCGTGGTGTAAACCATCTCCACTACACTTGACATACCCTGGCTCATCAATGAGGACTTTATAAGGTGAATCCTTTAGCTCCTTGTCTGCGTATTGGACGTCAACAGTGTGATTGCCTTCCTTCACTGGAGTGTAAGTAACTCGGTATGCATTCTTTGCCAGTGGCGTGATCTCAAAAGGTACCTCCTCATTATCAGGATCAGTTATAGATACTTTCATATCAGCATCGCCGGCTCTACGTGCATCAACATCAAATGTGGTTTTAGATTTAGCAGGATTTCCTGATTCGATACCAGGACCTTTTACGATAACTTTATCAAGATCAATAGAAGGTATTACACGAGGCTTGTCTTCAACTGGAACACCGTTATAAAGAACATTAGCTTCATAGTCACCTGGACCTTGATCAACGTGGTAGCAGATCTGGTGATGGTTATCATCTATTTTCTTAACGTCATATTCAACAGGGCCTGCGCCTGGTGGACTCTTAAAATCGACAGCAATATCTCCAGGGCCGGCATTCTCTGTATAAACATCAATAATGTTGTCGTGATCCTTTCCAACAAAGGCACGCTCTAAGCCATCACCATCAAGACGCACTGCACTGGGATCACCAATGGCAACTTGGAACGGACCACTTGGTAAAGGCTCACCATCAAACTTTACTTCAACGTTGTAGACTCCAGGAGCATCAGGGACGTAAGACCCATTGAACTTATCAGAGCCTTTAGAACTGGGCTCAAAGTCGATCTCCTTAGGTTGTCCATCAGGTCCAGTCACTATGGCAGATATAGGAGCAACACCAGACTCACCACAATCAACATTGATTGGAGCTGGTTTTCCTGTCTGTGCCCCATTACCAGTTACTCCAGGGCCATCAACCTTGACCTTTGTAATATCAGTGGGTGGAGCAGCACTGGCTCCAATTGGTGCCCCTTCCTTGAGCTCAGCATCAGGAAACTGTGAAAGATATGTCATCATACTCAACTCATCAACATGAGGATTAGTCATGTCCTCTGGTCCAAGCACCTATCAAAATAAAACAAATAAATTGGTTTTGTATTTTGACGATTACACTCAGTACCTGTGGAATACCAAGCCAGTCGTCAGCCAACTGCATAGCACGGCTTGCGTTTTGGAGTGAATTGTTAGGATCCATTGTATCAGCATCAGGGCAGAGGCCTGGAGCATGAGCATCAACCAAAGCTGCAATAGCCGTCCCGTCATTCCAGTCGGACGTGAAATTCTTGATATTCTTTTGTGGAATTTTTTTCTATTGATAAAAGCATAAACATAAAGCGAATGCACTCATGCATGCCACAAGACAAGCAACTGTACATGTGTGGGATCAGATTACGTTACAAGTCGTTGCAATCCAATTACTAGTCCTAACCACAAACTAAATTTTTACAGAACTATTTCCTTATATGGTAACAACTAGTAATTAACATCTGTTGTTATGTATGGCATCGACTGTTAGGTATGCAGACTATATCATTAGTATTAAGAGCAGCTAATGTTGCTAGTACCTGTATGTACTCCAGCAGTGCTTGTTTTCCACTTTTCTTTTGGCCGCCATCGTCATCATCGTCAATATTAAATCCCATGCTGATTTGGTAATGGAGGATTAGGGTCCAAACAAGACCAAGAATGAGCTTAAGATTACCTTCGATAATATCACCACTGCCTAATAAAAACAACAACAATAATAATAATAACAATAACAGCTCATTATAACACTTCATTACCAATGTTGACAAGCTTGATTCCCTCTGAGCCAATGAAATTCAGAACTTTCTCCAGGTTTTCCATTTTTTGCGCGTGGACCCGTGGCTTCTTGTTATATTTCCCTACGCTCTTCTGTGACAATACCTCCAGCAGTACAATCAGGAGGACCCCATCACCGAAATCCGTGGAGAGGCTCTTGACCGCAACTTTCTGCACTTTAAGCTGCTCGTTTACCCATCGGGTGAAGGTTTTCTCTTGTATTTTCTTCCATTGCGCATCAATCTCTGGGTCCATAGACCTTTCAAAACCAGATAGGTGAAAGCATTATTTTTCATATCACAGAACTTACATTTCAGAAGGACTTTTCCTCAAACTTTTCACTTCGTTGTTTACTCCGAATAACGCAGCAGGGCCTCTTTAGCCTTTCCAGTAAAGGAACAAGGAAGTGAAGGGGCTGAGGCATTACTAGCCATTGCATTTTTAAGCTAATTAGATGATGTGCCACTAAAAATTATTATAGTGCTATTAATAGAATCATGGATTTCATAGCTGTCAAATGTGGGCGTGTCATTACGACCACGCCCTTAAAATGGAGTCTCTCAAACAGTACAGTGATGATGAAGATGAGGTTACTCAGGTTAGTCTATGAGAATTATTTGTTGTCAGGCTAGTATTCGTTCAGAGCAAAGAAAAGCCTCGTGATGAAAGAGCTTCCAATAAAGAAAGATATGAAAAGGAGAGAGACAGAAGGAGAAGAAGATCAAGATCTAGAACTCCACCCAGAAGGAGGAGCCATGGTATGTAATTAAGTGTAAAACCTAAGACCATAGTATCAGTGGTTGTGTGTTGGGCCTAACATTGGGCAATCCTGTGAATGTATAATACTGTAGGGCGCCTTTTTTTCGAGGGCTATAAATTTCGTGGATTTCGCGATTTTTTTAAGATTCACGAAAATTACTTTCACGAAAATCAAATTAATACGGTACAAGATTGCAGACGGTATAAATTCACGAAAATTAAATCCGCGAAATAAAAATCCACGAAATTTATAGCCCTCGAAAAAAAGGTGCCCTACGGTATCTAATATCTATAACCATGGGATTTCATTACACCACTGTAATCAGAAAGTAGTGTTGATATATAATGTTTAAAAAAATAATGAAACTGGTTCTCCTCCTTTGGCTATTTTTTCCAAGTTGACAACATTGCCGATGCATTATTATTGCTAGTGTCATCTGGAGTCCATTATCACTATTATTATTTCAATATTTTTATTGTCACTATCTACATTAGAAAGCAACTTAAGTAGTAAGGCCATATAGCAGTTATGTAGACTTAGAACTACGTGCTATTCCTTATCTTAAACATAATTAACAAACACCAATTTGTATCATTGTAGGACATCATTCCAGCAGATCACAGCACAGACACAGTCCTCATCGTCATAGATCCCGCTCACCTCCTCATAGACACAGCAGCAGCAGGTGATACTGAATATTGTAATAGTGTTATTGATTCTTATTCTAGTGACCAGGATAGACAAAGAAGATCAACGAAACAAGGTTCTAAAGGTTTGATATTTAATATAATGTTACTTCCACAATCCTCATTTATCATTTAAAAATAAATGGAAATATTTCAGTAGTTGCTTTACTTGTAATACAGTTAGTGCCAAATTGCTCTTTTTTTACTTTCCCGCTATCTTGAAGTGACTATAGTGACTTTTATAGTCATTATAAGTGTATTTATTTAGTTTTTTGTTTATTGTTATTATTATTCTTTAGATAATGATAATGGTGATTCATCTGAAGTACCTGTAAAAGCTGCTTCAAGTGCTCCAGAGCAAGTTCCTGCCCAACCAGTGAAGCTTCCAGCTCCTCAGCCAACAGCAATGGCTCAGAAAAAGAAACTGTTGTGGAACAAAAAACCTGTAAGACTCACAGAGAACTGTAATTTAAAATTGATGTTCCTGTAATTAGACAAATCAATCATGGAATAACTGGGAGAGTGTTTCGTTTGAAGGTAATGAAATGGCACAGTCTAAGTTTCGGCGGCTAATGGGGATCAAGTCTGGCACTACTGAGGGAGTCAAACCTGAAGGAACAGCTGCTGATTCTACTGTTCTCAAGAACTTGGAGTCTCAGTATGAAACATCGCGATACATGACTCACCTTGCTAAAGGAGCTGGTCTTGGATTTGGTATAGTAACTCAAAACAACACAGTTGACCCTCATGACACTGACAAATTAAATGAATAAAAATAATAATAATTGTCAAAATTGTTCTAATTGAGCACGTGCAGAGCATAATGAATCAGACATGCTTTCAATTGATAGCCCATTACACAGGCACAAAAGTATAAGACAAAAGGAAAGCAAAACAATATTTACAGTTCTTCGTGAATCATTTCAGCATCACCACGACTACCACTTCGCTTTTGAGGGATCCCACTGGCAGCAAACTGGAGTAGTCTTTGCTTTGTTTGGTAATATTCTTCAATGTTCAAAAAATCCTATAACAATGAATTAATTGGAAGATAATCTAGTAGATCATAGTGACAATTACTATTGCTTTTTTTTGCTTTAGCAGGAAAGATGACATAATCTAGTTACGTTATGTTAACACATTCATTTGTATAGTATGTAATAGTGTGTGAAGTATAAATCACACTGGTTGATAACATGAGGTCACCATTATCATGTTTTTGTATGTAGTCTCATACCTCACGAGGTTTGAATTGATCAGGTGGCACATTCATTTTACTGCGAAAGTGCTTGATATTAACAGCCATCACATTATCTGATGGTTCCAATGCTTGATAAGTAGATGCAGCCTCGGCTGCTTTGTTTAAAAGACTAGCTGTTTAGAAAAAAATAAATAAAATATTATCATAATTTATCTTACTTTTAAAGTAATCAAATTGAAGATAGTGGAAATGACCGGAAAGATATTTATCAAAATATTCTCCATTGACGGTAGCCATCCAAGAATGGCATTTAGTGTGACATGTCAAATAATTGTGAATCATACTTTGTAAGAGAGTGTAATAATCCATTGCATCAGGTGCTAGCTTCATCTTGTTCAGTTTAATGTTTGTCTCTGCATCAACAAACTCCTGAGTCATATTGAGGAATAAAACATCATCGCAGAGTATCAAGCAGTTGGAGAGAGTCTCTTTGTATTTTATGAGTGCTGCTTCAAACTGATCAGCTGACTCCAGCCACTTTTCATTGTTATATGCTGTCTTACCAGCCAAGTAGTGCTCATGGTGGGTTAAGAGACCAGCCTCACGCGATGGGAAATCATCATTAGTCAGTTCTAACTGTTCCCTGTAGTATTTAATAGCATTGAGAATCATGGAGTTGTTGGTGTGATAGTAGAAGAAACTAAGAGCACATTTGATTGCTTCATCCAAATTTCCTAACTATAGCAATAGAAACAAAAGATAAACATTATTTTGCTGAAAATATCAACTTAAAAGTAGAGAGGTTATGGTATAAATGAATTTGAAATTTACTTAAATGGACATAAACACCTTATAACTTACTGCAGTTCAACAGTCACTGCAACTACTGGCTTTTATAGTCATTTATAATTTTGTGGCTAAATTTGCATTCATTTTTAAAGTTTAATATTGGGATGGCAGCATCAGACAAAGGTGGAATTTTATTATAAAAGTCTTTCATAATTTTAATGTTTTTAAGAGCTCATGGCTTATCAAGTCAGAATTAGTTCAAGCTTTTAAAGATAAGGATTGTACAGGATTGAAACATGCATAATCTACTTAATTTTGTTCATAAAACATTGAAGGCCAAAATTAAATAGCATTACATCTGAAATAGGGCCTCAGTGTAATTGTGAACAAGAATAAGTATTGTCAGTTAGTAACAATGGTAATGTATTACACTAACTTGATAATATGAATATTGCAGATAAGAATAAGGGATCCTTTTCCTAAACTTATCTAGTGTAACAGGATCAGGAATAGACATGTGTGGCAATTTCTGACGTATGCATCTCTTCACACACTGAGCTTCCAATAAATACGGAACAAACTGCTTCGACAAATCACTACTGGAAAGTAAATCCTCTTGTTTGCTATTTAACTTAATATCTATAAAAACAATTAGGAATTTTAGTATCAGACAATTATTATTATTCGGTCATTATTACCTGTATTGTTCTTACAATCGTTAAAACAAATTGCCGCCATTTTTTGATACTGATTAAATTCAGAAATTGCTTTTTCAAAAAAAGCTGCAGCTCTTTCATGATTCCCTTTAGTATAATCAGTCAAACCTTGATTCCAGTGCTCCTTGAGATTAAACAATCCTCCTAGAGCTACTCCATCCTATAAACACATAAAACCATAATACTTTAAAGCTAACAATAGTAGCAGTGTACCCTTTTAAGCTTGATGAGTCGAATATAAAACACTAGTGTTGCATTTGGTGGAATCATTTCCCCAACTCCTCTGTCCCCATAACCAAGACTTGGAGGGAACTCTATGCGGCGACGCTCCCACAAACAGGTTCCAACCAATCCCCTGTCCATTCCAGCAATAATGCGACCTTGCCCCAGAGCAACAATGTATGGAGAATCGTAGTCAAAACTATTTAGGAAATTAAACTAATAATACTTAACACAAATACAATATTAAATTTATAGCTTCAGTGAATACCATAATAGCAAGAGTAGATAATAATAGAAGAGAGTGTCCTACTGTGC